GGAACTTTCAAATGATGACAAAGAAATCAATTAAAACCAATTTGTATAATTCTTGTCCAACATAGGTCTCCCAACACTGTAATATATACAAAGAATGTGGTGATAATTTAGACACATCGCAAGAGCAGCGAGTGATTTCCAAGGAATGTTGCCTAGAATTGGTGTCTTAGCTATCAAAACCTAAAAAAATTTGTCGATGTTCTCTGATGAAACAGTCATTTTTTTTAGGGGTCGGAATGTATCTACCCGAACAAAAAAAATCCATATTCTTGTCTAAGGCCAGGCAATGTCTAACGTTTGCCTGAAAAAAAAATACATTGTGCTCCCGGACTCACATGTCCATCTTTTATGGCGATTCTATATTTTTGTTCTTACCGTTATAGATGGACAGGGAGCTGTTATGGATCCACAACTATCTTTAGTTGTACAGCTGATAACTCCAGTGTAAATAGACGCTATCAATATAGCTACTGAGGCAAGTTTCAGAAATACTGTCCTATAAAGAAGATATAAAACTTTATGACAGTAGTGGGGCCTACATTACATAAATTTATCAAGCACTATGCTTGAAATTGCCACTGATATTGTACTTTCTATATGCTGTGCTCCACTTATGAGATACCGTAAAATAATTCCTGGCTTCAACAGTAATAGTGTCAATAGTAGAAAATACATACCTTACTAATGATAATTTGATGACAAAGTCTTGTGTATATCTCTCAGCCATAATTACGATTTCAAATACCAGTGGTAACACAGCATTTAACACTGTTATTGTTATAGATGGTAGAAATTCTACCAGAAATAGCAGGATTTTGTTGGTACCAGATTCTACTGTATTCTACAATACACGAATATTTTAAATTGGCCTATTCATTTACATCTATAATTGCTTCACTGGAATGGTTATGATCATCTTAATCATCAACTTAATCATCATCATATCATCATCACCATCTCATCATATCATCATCACCATCAGCAGGAGCAGCAGCAAAGATCTCGTCTGGATGCGATCCTTTCTATAAAATGACTACATCTACATAAAAATGGTTTTAATAGCTTACTGAAACTTATTGAGCGACCATGTCTGAGAGACGTATTGTAATTTTGAGAACTAAGACCTATTTAATGTGGACAAAACTGTACTTACCACTGTGGTCCAAGAACTGGAGAATTCACTTGCTTTAAAAATAGCATACCCTGCTCCGCCTAAACACGCTATGACAAATAGATTCACAATAATTCGAACAAGATATAGCATACAGCGATAGGGACATTGTTCCATTTTCTCATCTCTGTTTTTCAGGAAACGTTGATCTTGCATTTCACTCTGAAAGTAGATTTTATACTTAGTTTGAAAACTTTGCAAAATTAATATTTTTTGTTGCATACGTAAGAGTTACCTCAAATTGTCAAGGGGTTTGCACGTGTGCACCACCTATGCAACGCTGTCCAGACTTGACATCAGCAATATGCTATGCTATGATATCCTTTGAAATTTGAAAAAAAAGCTCTCAAATCATTGAACCTACTGCTAAAGTGTAACGAAGTTTGCGTTTCTTAGTCTCACACACTCTTTCATATTTCAAGGAATAATCCCAACTACAATATACCATTGCTGTATATAACGTATCTTGTTCATCGGCTAAAGCATTTTTTCTGAAAGCTTTTACAGAACTGAAATCAGAAAAACAATTTTACGAGTTTAACTTATTGATGCATGTACTTAGTATGTGTGAAGAAAGGAAACAACGGGAACGTGGGCACTAAAAACCAGAGAGTTCTATATGTATATGTAGCAAACTCGATCCAGAAGACTACCTTACCATAACCCTTACTGTACGTTCATTTGAGCTGGTTTTATTAACCAGAGGGTGGGTTCGAGTTATACTAATTAGTATTGAACCAATAGTGTTATTGTGATATATATACTTACTATCTAGCCATGAGGAATACTGATAATAACAAACATATAATAATAACAAATAAATAAGCCAGTGGGAAGTTATAAATATATGAGCCATCTGTCATATATTTTCCTGGATAATACCCAAAAAATACGGGTGTCTTCTCCATCCAGCCCTAAAACATAAAAAAAGAAACTCATCGAAATTAAATTCAAAGTGTTTACATTGTTCAGTAGGAAAAAAGCAACCCTCGCACAATATACCAGTCATTGGCAAGCTGTTTATAAGGAAATCAAGCATTGTCATAATCTGCTTTATTGATGAAAAGTAATAAGGAAGAACCTCAATTTGTATAGCACATCTCTGTCAAAATTTTTGCTTATTTCATAGGACGTATGCCAGATACTACCCGTTGTCATTACCAAATATGGCGTAAAAGTCCATTTCAACTTACACTGCCAAGAAAAAAGTCAAGAAAAAGTTGTAAACCATCATCTGATACTTTAACAGTATAATTAGCTGTACATTGTTCAATAAACGTCTCTTCTACACCAAGATAATATGATTGTTGATCAAACAATAAGATTGGTAGATTTAAAAATCCAAAACTGATCACAAATAAAGCCAGATTCATACCAAATAACCATCGTAATAATATAAAGAAGGAAATGACACCAGTGCCTTGATGACCTGTTAATAGAGCAATAAAATCTGAAGTCATTTCCCTTCAACAGGCACTTCAAACTATTTTACTCAATCTTTGAAACGAGTTGGGAATCAAATTTCAAAGTTTAAAAAGCCTTAGCTAATTGCTCTGTATCCTATCTTAATTACCCATAAAAATAATCAGAAATTTCTTGGTGAGAGTTGATGATTGTTATTGTTAATTAATCAATTGGAAAAAGCAGTTGCAAATTTTTTTTTTTAAATCTGAACCTATCGTATGGTATAAAAGGTGACAAAGCATTTTGTTTCTCTAAATTTTTCTTTGATTTTTTATTTTTAATTATTAACCTAGAATTCGTCAATATTTCGAAATGACTTTTAGTCATAATCCTAATAAAGAATTTTGACTTCACCAAATCACAAATTCTTTACAAATTATTTTGTTTACTTCACCATGATACCCACTATTACTCAGACGTATATGGCATGTATATATTTAATTATATATTCTATATTGAAGGACGCTCTTAATAGCATATTGTCAATGATAATAAATAACACACCTTCAATAGACCTGATAGAGCTTCCCCAAAACTCAACCTTTTCTCTTAAGTTCTTCAGTGATGAACAACATGGCAGACTTCCAGACCATTTCTAAAAGAAATATTGAGATTTATTTTTCAACTTGTTGATTAATATTAATACTGTCTCAATTCTAAATAATTCTGTTAAAATGACGAAATTACAAACCCATCATAACTCCAATCAATGTGTATAACCTATAATATTGTTTTTTTTTTTAATTCATAAATATTTTAAAATTCTTAATCAAACCTGCAATAAACATGGTTAATACAAATCGAATTCTGAATAAAAATGTTAACAAAAGAGCGGAAATGTTATATTCATGTTGCATGTTAATAATCATATATTCCTGAAATTGCGAGAATTGATCTGAAATTACTCATGGGAATTGGAACCTATTATGCTGAGCATGTATTCTAGGTCACAACTTGAAACACGCAAGAAGCATAATAAATTAATTATAAAAATGCGTCTTCAAGTTATAATGCAAACAAATGCGTTTGTCGACATATTACTAAATCTATCGCTTTTAAATTTAATTTTGCTTTCAAATCATCATGTCTGTGATATTTAATCACAATTTCAGTATACTAATTTAATCAAGTTTATTTGTATGCTTTGAATATAAGATAGTAAGACACATTTATAATTTTTAGTTTTATGATTTAACCTTGTAACAAAACCATTGATCAATTCATCTTAAACATATGATATAAAATTTGATCAAATTTATCTTAATTGTAGCAAAACCATTGAACAAGTTATTTTAAACTTAACTGCAACAAAACCACAGATCAATTTACATATGATAAAACATTTGACCTAATTTCGATCAAATTATTTCAAATATCTCATACAACGTTTCTTATATAATTCAACATTTTATATAATGTATGTTGATAATTATGATAAATCAGTTGAATTAAATCTATCTTGAAAAAAATGAATTAACAAATTATCAAATTATTCTAAATATATGTTTGAATATTTCATTTAAAGGAACAGTTGCGCCATTTTGGGGGATTGATTTGATTATTGAAAATATGTAAATAGTTTTGAGAAGTACTAGATATGTACGACAATCGCATAATTCCTTTAAAAATATCTCGTACTAGGAATTTTACCCACAATTCGATATATGTTTTCATCACAAAGTATCTCAACACTTAAACGTAATTCTGGACACACATGTATTTGAATTAGGCACAAATTTCGACGGTGAGCTGTGAACACTAAGGCCTACTGATTGGCAGGATAAAAAATCCCATTTCTGAGACTAAAGTATGATTAGTCAAAAAGAATGGTGCACCCATCACTTTAATTTATCATCATGCGGACAAAAATGGCCCTTGCGGATCCGTCATGCGTCAAATATGATTCCATATGTGCGTTAAACGTATGCGTTATTTTTCTTTCGACGCACGGTCTTCTAGACAGATGGATGCCTTGGTGCATAAAAAAGACAGGGAATCTCCACAAAATATATCACATTTGGGAGATCTCCGCGCGTAAAGGCATCCGGGTATGTCAAAAATCGCTACACCCGGCCATTTTTTTTTGACGCATGACGGAGACCATTTGACGGATACTGCTTCTGCATATATATGGAATCATACCCTCTTAAACCAACCATTTCGATCATGACGGATGACGCATGACGGATCCGCATGACGCGTATATGGAATCTTAGCTTTGCGTGTTAAATAATTTAAAAATTCTTCATTATAACTCTTAAGCACGTAAACATTATATAGGGGACGGAAATAAAAACTAAATTTACAAGTCGTTCATGATAAAATAAATAATTTTAATGCATGTTCGTTCATGCATGTTAAAACACATTTCTCCCAAACCCTATTTCTTGTAATAGTTTCAAAGCAATTGTTGGAAATGTTACTTACAGAATTTTTTTTCTTTAATCGCAGTTGTAGTTTTTCTTCTTGGCTAATCTCACTGAAAATAAGATAACATTACAGATAATCAGAAAGTTATATGCATGCAGTTCCCTATATCAGCCGGAACAAATGCTTTTCCCATAATAATATAAGTTCTTGGGATTTCTAGCAATGCATAAATATGAGGGACCCTAAAACTTTCTATTTGCACGATTAAGATTTAATGTCCAAAGTTTGTTCCAAATTATGACGTCATTATCGCAAATATCATTTGATACCCAAACTTTGACACTATCTCAACCCTTTAATCTAACGAGATTTGAATACATCTGTATATACAGGTACACTCAAGTGTAACTCGGTGATGCTGATGTTTACTAATTCAAAAACTTAGCATTCAGCAACAAAAAGGTTAACCTACCGAAGTCTTTGTGATAGTGATGGTGTTTTCACGAAATGATCCAACTGTATATTATGTTTACTCTGTGCTTTATATTGTCTTCTGTGAAGACGTTTATTACTGATGATAGATTTTCTTCCATCATAACCATTTGGTGTTGGTGAAAATCCCGGGCTTGATGTATATACCCCTCCACCATTCGCATTATCCAAGTCTAGAGACTCCACATCGTAATGTCCTACTCGATTCATGATGTGTAAAGTCAACTTATCAGTAGATAATCCAGTCATGTAAACACACACAGACCGTTAACTTCCTTTTTCCAAACGTTTAAAGAAACGAGATAAAGAATAAGAGACGACCTTACTAGCTAGTGAGTTGTTATGTATTTGGTATTTTATCTTGGATTAATAACTTATAAAAAGACTTTTCTTTGAATAGATTTTACATTGACATGGTAATTTCTATATAGATATACCCCACAATCTTACAATCTGTTATTGAAATAAACGAATAAAGCAATAGAAGGGGTCTATTTGATCAAGGAACTCATCATTTTATGTGCGTCAACAAACTTATTTTATTCCTTTAATATCCCAATCTTAGTTAAAGAGACTCAATTGGTTTCCACTTAAGATTAATAAATTTGTCTACTTTAATTTGAATAATCATAAACATTGCTTAGTAACTAGCAGTCGGTCAAACATTTTACAATAACACAGACGGTCAAACTTTTACAGTAACACAGCCGGTAAAACTATAGCAGTAACAAACAACTGGTTACACCTTTACAGTAACACAGCCGGTAAGACGATGTGTAGCAGTAACTAACAGTATGTTAATCTTTTAAGTAACACAGACGGTAAAACTTTTACAGTAACACAGACGGTAAAACTTTTACAGTAACACAGCCGGTAAAACTTTTTCAGTAACACAGCCGGTAAAACTAAAGCAGCAACTAACACTTGTAAAACTTTTACAGTAACACAACCGGTAAAACTTTTATAGTAACACAACCGGTAAAACTTTTACAGTAACACAGCTGGTAAAACCTTTACAGTAACACAGCTGGTAAAACCTTTACAGTAGCAAACAGTCGGTTAAACATCTTTCAGTAACACAACCGGTAAAACTTTTGCAGTAACTAACAGTCGGTAAAACTTTTGCAGTAACTAACAGTTGGTTGATCTTTTACAATAACACATCTAGTTAAACATTTGACAGTCAGTAACAGTTGGTTAAATGTGTTACAGTAACACACCAGTTTTGTCGTATACAGTAACACAGTCGGTTAACATTTTAAAGTACCTAACGACCAGTTTTTTCACATCTCATCGGAACTACAGCTAGTTTTTAAACATTAGTTACTAACTTTACTGCAACTAATGGTTTAAGTTTAACAAAGATCAGCAGCCGGTTCCACTTTTACGGTTACGTCCGTCACCTTTGTACTTAAACATCTGACAGTAACCTAACAGTCGCTTAAACATTTTACACCAACAAACAGCCGCGTAAAACTTTTACAATTTTAAAGTAACACATCCGGTTAAACGTTTACAGTAACATCGGTCGGTGTTTCAATACTTACTAGTATGTGAATGCATAACACATCGCAGACCACAGCGCTGTTGGGAAAAAGGTTTGTAAAAAGGTTTTCAAAATTTGTAATGTGTATCGGAGACACTGATAGCATCAATTTGCACCATATCAATTTTCCCTGATACACATACAACAATTAAAGAAACTTCTTTACAATCCCTTTCAAATATTATGTTATTCCTTTTTTGCTGTGAATAAAAATGACGATTATCAAATCTCTTCTGGTGAAAAATATGTTTTCATGATAGAATATAATCGGCTTTACAATCCAAACTGAACATTATCTCACTCGATTTGAATAAAAGGTTAAATCAACACAATATTATTAATTCATTTATCAGGAACAAACTATTGGTTAGAATCAATCAGCTCTTTTCATCAAGTTCACCACGTTCATTAAAGGAAATACGTGTATATTCCATCTTCACAATGATCAAGGTATTACGAACTTTGTCTTATACCTTGACTACAATAGCCACTTTTTGAATCACGGAGGTTTGTAAATGTAGTGATTTGATTGGTTTGTAAGTTAGTGAATACAGCCAATCAGAGCCCTGGAACATCTGTTAATAATAAGCTATAAAGATTAAAGTCTTCTCTGTCGAAGGCTGTGGTTGGCTGTATTGGCCTACAATCCAATTAAATCGCTGCATTCTGTGATGCAAGAATAGTGGCCAAGGTATAAAACGAAGTCTGTAATATCTTGACCATTGTGTGTCTATACGTGAAATTAATTTTAATCACTTGCCTCTGTAAAAGGATCAGGTGGGCCAAGTAGTTGTTGTACTAAGTCTATTAAGAAATAAATAATATATAAGCTAGTCAACCGAATCACCAACAAGCATATTACAATCAATAATGGATTCTGTTGTTTCGATAAGTGTATAAATACATGTTGTTTCAAACAGCAATCACGAGAACAACATTCCCTCTAATACTCAGAGACGTTAATATATGGGTAGGATGGAGTGACTAGTGAACACACACTCACTCTTTCAAATTTCTATTCGTAGAGCTGCTGTTAGCCCCTTAGAATTATGTGACCTCATACTCGAACCCACCCTTACCCACCGAATGATTCACAGAAACGCCGCTGCTTTAACTTTGCCCACTATACGCAAACAATAGACCTATATCCAGAGGACATTGTACTTCTTAAAGGGAAGCATGATATTGCATAATAGCGCGATTACAACATTTATATTTCATAAAAGGCATAAGTTTTTATTAAACTATACAGGACCTCATACTCGAACCCACCCTCACCCACCGAATGATTCTCAGAAACGCCGCTGCTTTAACTTTGCCCACTATACGCAAACAATAGACCTATATCCAGAGGACATCGTACTTCTTAAAGGGAAGCATGATATTGCACAATAGCACGATTACAACATTTATATTTCATAAAAGGTATAAGTTTTTTTTAAACTATACAGGACCTCATACTCGAACCCAACCTCAACCACCGAATGATTCTCAGAAACGCCGCTGCTTTAACTTTGCCCACTATACGCAAACAATAGACCTATATCCAGAGGACATTGTACTTCTTAAAGGGAAGCATGATATTGCACAATAGCACGATTAGAACATTTATATTTCATAAAAGGTATAAGTTTTTTAAACTCTACAGGATATGACTTGTTTGTTCTTTGAAAAATAATGCCATGTTCAATAGACACATTATGTAGGCCCCACCTTTAAGTCTTAAAATAATTTGTACTGCATAAATAGACAACAATGCATCTTGAAATTAGATCAAGGTCAATATGTAATGTAATGCAAGTTCCTTTAGCAATGGTACGATATATCAGTAGAATATAGATACAGTACCGGTACAAAAGGAACATGAGTGTTATGCAAAATGTTATAAATACAATAATTAATATCAAAGAGTGTGTTTGTGATTGGTTTCCAAAAAGTTCGAAAAATTGTCACCATTCCTGGCGTTGTGATGATAAACTAAGCTAAGTTGTCCTTTAGTGCAATATTGTTAAAATATATTATATGTTATAAGTAATACAGTAATTCAATTATTAATCTGTTAAGTAAATAAACGTGTATGGTCATGTTGTCACTGGTCAGAATTAAAATCTATTGTGGTCAAACTATAGTTCATATCGACCTAGGATAAATGTTTTTGTTCCTTTTAATGATTTTATAAGTTGACCTTTCTATTAGTTTTGGATGGTTGGATGTAGGCGTGTTGGTTTAAGTTGGCAATTATACCGGCTTTAGCATGTTCTGGATTGTTTGCTTCATTTATGAAATAATGCACTAATCGTGAAAAAAGTCAAGGTCAACAAAATATTTTTTTTGACAAAATGTGAAGACAGCCCATAGTTTGCATCTATGATCTTCTATTTGTACCATTTTATAATTTCCAAAATAACTTTAAGTTTCGCGTCGCTTCAAAAACAAAGAAGGATGTACTAAGCTTTACATAAATATATATATTATTCAAATATAAATTATCACAGATAAACAAATATATTATAAACTGAAAAATAAATATATAAAGGTTATCAAAACTTTTAAAAACAAGAAGTTAATCAATTTGATTTATTATTTCACTTTACAGTAGATAGTTAAATAACCAAAATATCACAAATTATGGACGGAAAGATCTTTGAAAATTAATATTTTTTCAATTTATTTGGATTCAAATGAAAATTTACAAAATAATGTCATTTTCATAGTTCATGTTTACAACTTTCATTTTCATTGTTTATCATTTACAAATCAACGTCATTTTCATTGTTTATCCTTTACAAATCAACGTCATTTTCATTGTTTATCATTTACAAATCAACGTCATTTTCATTGTTTATCCTTTACAAATCATTGTCATTATCATTGTTTATCATTTACAAATCAACGTCATTTTCATTGTTTATCATTTACAAATCAACGTCATTTTCATTGTTTATCCTTTACAAATCAACGTCATTTTCATTGTTTATCATTTACAAATCAACGTCATTTTCATTGTTTATACTTTACAAATCAACGTCATTTTCATTGTTTATACTTTACAAATCAACGTCATTTTCATGGATTGATGGATATTATTTCATGTTACACTAAAACACATATAAGATCGTCATGGATGAATCCGAACCATTTTCAGAAATGATTACAAATCGATCAAATATGATCATCATTCTCTTGGACTGTTTAAAAATCAAAATCGTCGTCATTATTAACAGTATTAGGGGGTGACCCATATTGAATCTTTTCAATTGTGTTACTTCTACTTTTAGCATTGAGGTACGGTTTGGATTCTGTATCTCCTTGTACTATCGGCGAATCTGTTCTAGGTAATGACGGCGATTTTGGTGTTTGTGACATCGATCTCCTTCTGTGCATCACAGGAACTTCCCCTGTAGCATCTTGTAGCTTATTTAATAAGAACTGACGATCTTTTCCTTCCTGCAACACAAGGTATCATTTTAAATGAACATCGTAATTAGAAGAAAAAAAAAACAAAAAGCACAATTACAGACAGGCCCGTAGCCAGACTTGACTTTTCAGGTAAGTAATATATCTGGAGGGAGTATAGTTAAAGTAATGAAATTGCTCGGTTGGAAGAATTTTTTTTTCCCTTACCCCTATAGCTACAGGCTTGATTACAGAAAGTGTGGTTTAAAATTAAATGCTATGTCATGTAGTTTAACATACTACTTTTCTGCTCCTGGAAGGAAGACAGACCATCCACTGAATGACTCACAGAAGTGTAATGCAACGTTTCGATTTAAAGACTTCCTGGTAAGATATAAGGATATGGCTTTAACAAAACGTGACAATAATAAAATTTTACCCTACCAATACTATTTCTTCTCGTAATAAATTACTCATATCTTTATGTGCTGACGACATAGACGAACAATAATAGATTAAAACCCTGAAAGTAAGTCATATTATCAATAACAATTTTAAGGCATTGCTTGTGTAGTGGTTCACAAAGGGATTTTAAAAAGTTTTTCTAGACTTTCTGTGCGTCTTGCAATTCTATTGAAACTAAGCGTTTTTCGTCGTAGCTATTGCAAGGGCCCTTATGTTATAGTGTTAGCGATATCGATGTCATTTACAGTAAATCATTTCTATAATTACATGAACCACAAAACAGCTGACGGGAAATAGTAGATGTCAATAGAAGCAATAAATGACCCTTGTGAATAAAAAGATAAAAAGAAACGGCTAGAAAACAACACATCTTAACAATCTGATCTAAATATATAAATTTGTGTATGTATAGTTTAGGATTATCAGAGGAGACAAGCAATCGGAAATGTAGAAAGATTAATTTAAATGGCCAATAATCAATAGAATGTATAGATCTAATATAGTATTTATACCTATAGAGTATGTAATAGATAGCGTAAACACGGGTTGACTAGTACACAATCCATACTGTTGATGTTTATCGGTGATAAATATATAATAAGATATCAGGTTATAACCTTCAGATATTAAAGGGAAAGTACAATCTCTTTTGAACACATGATTTATACTCAAATACTATGCTTTGATGTGCTAATGTTTCCTAGTTCATTTAAAAAAATGTCAGGCGCATTGACGTGTAACCCCCTCACCCCCAGAGAAGCTTGGAGTACCTCTTTGATACTAGCTCGTTTTACAATACGAAAGGGATGCCTAGTTGACCCACACATACGTGTGTGACATCCGGCACAGTGTGGAGCTCAAATCCAATTAAGTCTTTGGGCTCAGATGGAAGAGCTGGAAGCTAATAGTTAGCTGTAGTCTAGTATAATAACCATACTTACAGTAATATTATAATAGTTGATGCTGTAACTGCAGGTGATGTTATGATATTATAGAAATTCTGAAACCCAACTGGTCCATTAAAAACAGGCACTGTTATAGCATTGTACATGAAGTTATATTGTCGAAAAGGACCGCAACTTTTGGATGGTGCTAATCTGGAAGAATAACGTTTTAACTTCATGACGATGTAAATGGATCATTTTGTTCGTTTCTGCTTTACAACTTTGTAGTTTTTGAAGGAACATTGCAAGCGATTCGGTCAGTAATACAACGAAAGTAAACATCCGATGAAACAACAAGAAATATTTTTTTAATACATTACTTACGTGGCCATTGTGTATCCAATAGGAAAACAACATATAAAGAAGGCTAATATTAAAACTACCATGAAGAAACTATTTGATCGAGATGTTTTGTAAGGTTTCTCTGGTGGCTCACAAGCAAATAAGGCTGAAAGCTGAAAAATACAACATGACCATCTTAGAAAGCAGCAAATAACAACGATAAAGGATCACAAACAAGACACTTCATTGCACCTCTTTACGATTGACCAAAAAACCTTTTAATAATTTGAAGAGGTAGCTTATGGCGTAATAGAAGGCTCCAGGAACAAGGATAACCTCTATATCCTGTTATAGTCATGTTTGTAGATTATGACCTTTGTATTTCAAAAATATTTATTACAATTTCCATAGATATTAATGTTCCTGTTGGAACCATTATTCATCTTATATTTTCAGATTCTGAAGAATATGGATTTTCATTTCATATATTGAAATTATATTTTATTATTCAAACTAACTGCACAAACAATATCCTCTCACTAGAGATTAAGCCTGCATACCCGTTCCTGTGCTTTGTTACAACCTAAAATCCCGAACATAGGCCTACTAATACATTATGGCTTTTTTCAAAGTTACCTTTTTGGCATAAAAGACAATTAAAAGTTTGAGAACTGCTATGGCTGGAAGAATCGGTGCAAAAAACATTCCCATCCTACAAAGAAAGACGAATAAAAAATATACGAAAAACTATGAATAATTTAATTATGGCAATTATTTTGTAACAGTACTACACAAATTTCGTGAGGTCAACATCCAAAAAGCATGCTTATATAAAAGACAATCAAAATTAAACAATGTGCGACTTGTAATCGGCAATATACAGTAAAATTACTACATACCAATACAGAATCTGGGCGTATACCAGATCTAATACATTTTTAGGTATATCAAACTGAGCAGCTCCTATTTTTTCTGTTAAACCACATTTGCATTTATTTACAATAATTCTGTAAAGCAACAAAGTAAGGAACATATAACTTCAATTGCGTAATTTGTATATGGAGTATAATAATATTTTATAATGTGATTTATATTATATGGGAAATAACTCACACATTTATAACAGTTTTTTTTATATTAAGTGATCGAATAAAACCATATACATATAAGAACTCGACAGAAAGCAACAAGGTAACACTAACCTTCTCGGAATCTCAACAAACAGAACAGTTCCAACACCGACGAGAAAATCTGTAATGACCAATTTGTATAACTGTTGTCCAACGTAGGTTTCCCAACACTAGAAAATATAAACAAATACAAACTATTGATGAATATATATGATTATTCAGCATCACGTGAAATGGAACTTATCTTGGAAAACAATGATAATCAGAAAAAATCAAACCCATCATACATTTAACATTAACGTTGTATTAAAACATTAACAGTAGCGACAACCCATCAACGACGACAGTATTTATATTCTCTACAGGATAACAGATAACTTTAGATAATGCCAATTAATTGTTTGAACAAGCTTACCTGAATCTCTGTACATGGTGAAACTCCTTTACCACAGCTATTTTTAGTAGTACAAGTTATTTCAGCATATAGTGTACCAACTAATACGGTCAGGGACGCCAGTTTCAAAAATACTGTTCTGAAATGCAAAACGTAGAATGAAGAATGCAATGATAACTGCATAGGGCATTTGGCTTTCCGGTAAGTAGAAATCAGAAAGGAACCTTGCTTAATATAAAATACATGAGATGGAATATGGGGAATATGCTACCCTAACGTTGAATGACTATATTGTGAGGTTTCCAGTAGGCCTTCGTTAAAAATTTCCTCGATCAGCTTCTATTGTAGAATCATCGTAAAGACCAAAATGATGCTACTGGCGTGGAATATTGGACAATTTCAACTTGAAAAGACATTATAGCTCTCAATCTTTGATCTTAGCAACAACACCACGTCATTACCATATTTAGTTTTGTTTTATATATATTTATATATATATATATTTTGCTGAAATATTCCGACTTACCTGATGAGAGTTATCTTCACGACGAAATCTTGTGTGTATTTTTCAAATTTAACCACTATTTTAAATATAATTGGTAACAGGGCATTTAATACAGTAATGGTAATTGATGGTAGATATTGAACTAATAATAGTATAACATTATTGGTATTGCTTCCTTCATTCTGTAAATAAATAACAGGTTTATTACCTATTTATTATCTGAGATTTTTGGGTAGAAAAAGCTTGAAAAGTGTGAAACGTGTTTGCTTAATGTATTCTAAGAGCGATATTTTGTTTGTTCGTATGAATAAAAACTACAAGTACAATCAAATGACCAAATCAGAAAGAGTTCCGAGACCTGTGACGCTTTCTGAACCCTTAGAAAAACGGTTGCAATTACAAATGTCTATAATTAAAGAGACGGTGACTATATACTTCAGATCCTGTTTTGGGATATTTGTTGTTCACGAAGAAGAGTTTGTGAAATGGTTTGAATCTTAACTTACGTCCTCTATATATGATGAAGAGAATAAAGTTATAAAATAGATCAGGTATCCTCCACCACATAAACATCCCAATACGAATACATTGAGAATAGATCTGACGGTATATAAACTACACTTAGCATCACAGCTAACCATATTCTGTAATCTATCCCTTTCAAACCGCTGTTCTGCCATTTCAGCCTACAACAAAATAATGACTCTTTATTAATGATTATCAGTTATTAGTACAAAAAGTAATCTTAATCCATCTCATGATGCTGTTCCAGTTGTTCATTTTATGCTACTTTCTCATATAGTGTATCTGAGACCATGGACTCATCTCAACAAAACATTTTGCTGAAGTAGCGGCGATAATTAGCACACCCCCTGAGCTTCCAGCAACTAGTGGCAGTGACAACCTTCCGAGCTAGAGTACAGATAACGTAAATTTTTTAGATATGAAGTGGGGGTACAATTGGGGATACAAACCATTTTTCTAAGAGGCAAATACCCCCTATACTTCCACCGGCAGCAACAGTTGCAAAACTGTAACTTCTGTTGACTAACAGATTTGTACGGAGCCCCTAAGGCGCAATTGTAAACATATTTATCTATTATTTCGTTTAAACGAAATAATTATTCTGTTTAAACGAAATAACATCATTTATTTCGTTTAAACGAAATACCCTATGTTTATTTCGTTTAAACGAAATAATTAATTCGTTTAAACGAAATAATTAATTCGTTTAAACGAAATAATTATTTCGTTTAAACGAAATAAAAAGATGAGTTAATTATTCGTTTAAACGAAATAAACTTAGGGTATTTCGTTAAAACGAAATAATTATTTCGTTTAAACGAAATAAATGATGTTATTTCGTTTAAACGAATTAATTATTTCGTTTAAACGAAATAATTATTTCGTTTAAACGAAATAATAAATAAATATGTTTACAATTGCGCCTTAGAGGCTCCGTAGATTTGTGACATCTATGGCAATTACTAAAAGATCGTTCAGTGAAAATTCTTTCGCTTTGAACTCAATTAGATTAGATTCAATAGGAATATCATTTCTTCAGTTTATAATCAGCATAATTTCGTTTTTAAAACTATAATTACCGCAAAGTTGTTGTAAATGCTTCTATGTTTAATTTCAGCAGCATGATCATCACACAGAGAGAAGTCCCAAGTTGTAAATAATTCATTAGTAAACACTAAATTAGATTCACCAGATGCCAGTATATTCTGTCGAAAGGCTTTAGCAGTGCTGAAAATGAAACAAAAGATTTGAAGAACTGAATTAAGAATAGACCATGATAAATCACAAGGATCGTTCTGTAAATATCCTAGTATTTCATTCACAATGAATCAAGCGCTTGGTGAATAAATGTATTGAGTACACTTTTACGCAGTGAAAGCAGTGAACGCAGTGAACGCAGATAACATTTAACAATTTGCATTGATGAAAGTCATGGCAGGCATTTGCTTACAATTTCCAATCCAAATTACCAAACGCTTTTTTAGTTTCAGGCTCTCAGACATACATTCATCACTGATAGCCTGGTATCCAACTCTCATACGCTGGGGTCGATCTCTGGACCTGAGCTTTAACTAGGCATAAATGTATTATGCAACAGGCCGTGCTTAATTTCACATCATCTTCAATGATCCATAAAATACAAACTGTTCTAAGGGCTGACTGGTAAGACTTGATATAAAACATACTTACTATCTGGTCATGAGAAATAAACTAACTAATAAACATATAACGGTAGATACAATATACGCTAAGGGTAAATCATAAATAAAGGATGCTCCAGCTGATCCAATGTTTAGCCCATACCCTGTATAGTATCCATAAAACATTACTGTATTTTCCATCCAACCCTACAAAAACACAAGTTTCTTTAACTGGGAAAGAGAATTCACATGATCTATTCCGAAGTAGCAAAACAGCAGCAAAAGAAAGGATAGGATTCAGCAGTAACAAAACAGGAAGCTTCATACGGAAAATAGTAGTAGCCTCAGCGGCTACAACACAAGCAGTTGTATTAATCAGCTACTTCAGGTCGTTCGGAGTTAGTTCAGGTATCAATGGTTGAAACAAGAAAACAGTCTCACGGACACCACGGTGAAAATGAGAACAATCCACTGAAGCAGTACTTAAAAAGCTTAGAAAGAAAATATAGGTATCAGGGATAAAGTAAGTAAGAACATCAATGGACTGGGAGAATGTGCAATGATGACACAATTGTCCTTGAAGAACAATACATGTATGTGGTATAAAGCATCAAACAAAACTCGATAAATGACAAATATTTCTTACCGTTCCTTGAAAGAAGTCTATAACAAGCTGTGATGCTTCAGAAGAAACATTGACAATATACGTCTGTGAACAAACGGCATCGAGTGAGGTTGAATTGGTAAAGTTCCAAGAAGGGTATGCAATCATAGGTAAATTCATAAAGATGAAAACTAACAGGAAAATCAATATATTTAACTTTAACAGCCATCTCAATAATACAAAATAGGATACAACCCCAGTTCCTTGGTAACCTGAAATTAGAGACATGTCGTTTAAAGCTAGAGAGGAATAAATCCTCAAGAGGAAAGAATCCTCAAACTTCTGGTAGATGTACCTCAAGCGTTTAAAGTGGCGACCTTTTATAATACCTAGTGTAAGATTTCGAGTCTTATTAGACCATAAAACCAGGTGAACGCATGGCTCGGTCTTTGATGCATCTTATTCCAACACCATCATGGACACAGTTCTCAAACAAATTGTATCTACCTATTTCAAAATGAGTCAAAAAGCCACCATGGATCCTCCATGTGGTAGTCATTGTTCACGAAAGGTTTTTACAGTGCCGATGCTCAGCAGGATTTTGATATATTATTCAATTATCATTGTGGCCTCCACTTACCTTCAATGTTTCTAAGTGATGATCCCCATAGTTCTAACTTGTATGCTAATCCCTTCAGGTCTGCTTTAAATCTTCCCCATTTCTAAAAAGGACACGGGAAAGGATCAGCAATGTATAGTGTCAAAAAAGAAGTGCCGGTGCAAAGAATTCTGAAATCGGTTGATTGTTTAAATTATAAATTTTGAGATAACTGTATACACACCACTTTTTGTCTGTATTTCCATGCACCAAAACCAGTTAAGCCTTTCACTGGACCAGAAAATAACTTGTCTCTGTAATATGGAATATTGAGAAGTAGGCTACATTGTTAAACTATTAACTACATATATAGTTCGCGAAAATAAATGGATTTTAGAAGTGTGAGTAGAATCTCTCTCCC